TGAAAGGCCTATGAAGCGGTATATAAGTCTACTGCTATTGCTATTTAGGGGTTAATTTTAGGTTTAGGGTTTACAGCGTGCTTCTGTCTCCGCGCTGTCGTCGCCCTGTTGATGACGTCAGCAACGCGGTTTAGTCGAGCGCGGTTTTGTGGTGGAACCCTGCCCAGTTGCTCAGGGCAGAGCCCGAGGGCGGGGGATGGGATGCAACTGCCATGTCAACTAGCAGGGGATGTGCTGGGGGCGGGGGGTTTCACCCGGGCGGGCGGCCATTCCCAGGCAAATGTGTGGTGCCCACTGCTGCCCTCTCTGCAGGCTGCCCTCCGGCTGGCTGAGCTTGGACCGCTCCGTCTTCCAGCTGATGGCTCAGACGGTGGGCGCCAGTGTGTGGCGAGAGGCTGAGACGGCATCCAAGCAGCTGCCCGTTGCCGAAGGTCAGCCATCGGGCAGCAGAGCCTCCCCTGGAGCCCCATGGTGAGTGCGCTGGCCTGCTGGGAGACCCCAAGCTGCCTGTCTGTGCTTGGGGGCTGCCGGACCCTAGAGAAGCCCCCTCCTGCCATGGGCCCCGTTGCAGGGAGGCACAGCGTGTGGCTGCGCCAGGCTGGTCTCCCAAAGCCTTTCGGCAGCCGACCCGTGGAAGGGAGGGGGCTACCCGGCCCTTCTCCCCTCTGCTCCTGAGCCTGCCAAGAAAGGGGGGACAACTGGGGGGGCAGCCAGCCTCCCTGGTCTGCTCTTGGCTGGGGGGACCACTGACACCACGTCCCCCGACAGCAGAGGGTGGGCAGGCGTTTTCAGGGAGGCCCCTGGCAGACAAGACCCCCTGCAGGGTGACAACCTGAGAACAGGTTCTGGAGGGGGGATGAATTTCATTCTGGCTGGGGTGGGGGGGGGCACATCTGCTCCCCTGCAATCAGCAAAGCCCTTGATGGGTGGGGGCAGCTATGTCCCTGCAGGGAAAGCCTGAGGGGGAAACCGGAGACCCCTGAGCAACGCAGGTGGGAAGGAGAGGGTGCAGGCCCTCTGCTGCAGCCCGTGGGCATGCTCTCTCTCCGCAGGGCGGTCAAGGCCCTCTGCCACCACATTGCCACCGAGGCCGGGCAGCTGAGCTTCAAGAGGGGAGACGTCCTGCGGGTGCTGAGCCGGGTGGACGCCGACTGGCTCCGCTGCAGCCGCAGGGAGGGAGCCGAGAGCGGGCTGGTGCCCATCATGTACGTCACCCACCTGGAGGATGCCGATTATTGACAGGCAGGCGATCCCTGATGGTGCCCAGAGCAGTTCTGGCCAAGATGCCCCTCACCAAGACTCAGCCAAGGACCCGGCTTCTCTTGCCTGCTCTGGGCGAGAGGGGGGGGGGGAGACTCTTCCTCTCTGCCGGGGCCTCCGGTGGCCCACCGTTCCTGTGCATGCGCCTCTCCCCTTTTCTCCGTGGCACCCACGCCGTGTCCAAATGAACATGGGGCCCCTGTGAAGGGCCGCCGGGCCCCCGGAAGGCCTGCTCCAGACTTGGGAGACTGTGCTAACCTGTATTAATCCTGAGGAGGGGGAGGGAGGGGGGAGGGGAGACGCCGGTGGGAGCAGGGCGGCCTCTGCGCATGCGTGCAGGCGGAGCCAAGTTGTGGCCGGTCTCTGCAGGAGCAGCTGGCCAGTCGGGGAAGGGGGTGTCCGGCCAGCTCTCCCACTAAGGGCGGAGGCTTTGAAGCCAAAAGGGCCCCCGTGGCACAGGTTGGGTGGTGCCGGTGGAACCTCACGCCACTCGATGGGCAGAAGGTCTTTGTGTGGGAGGGCTCATGAGCCTGGGTTGTATTCTGACCAGTGGGGAGGAAGGGGGCTCCCCCCCACAGCCAGTGGGCAGCGCCAGTCAGTATTTGGGTCTGGGCTCTCGCCCGCCCGCCCCGTCCCTCCTCGATGGGAACGCAGGAGTCAGTCCTGCCAGTGTTGTGAGGGTGGCGCCATCTTTAATTTATACTTCCAGCGTTAGAACAGGGTGTCTCGCCTTTATTTATTTCTTTATTTATGACACGTATTAATAAAAAAGGTGCTGATTATGAGCTCCCTCCCCAGACTGGTGATTCCCTCCCTCCCAGCTTCTTTCTTCTTTGCAGGGACAAGATGTTGGCTGTCATCCCCCCCCCCCCCCAATATCTTACACCATTTGAGCTGCCTTGATGCTTCTTCATTCAGGAGGCATCTGCTGGGTTTGGTGGCCCTTTTGAGGGCTCAGTCAGGAACCCCAAAGGCGGCAGGAGGGCCTTTGTGTGCCCCAAATGCGCTGTGGGCACCTACCAGCCGGAAGATGGACAAAGGGGGCCGATGGTAGAAGAGGGGTCTTGATCTAAAGCCAGCAGGGCAGAATCCCTCCCCGATAGGTGTGCCAACGGGCCCACTTGGCAACTGCATTCACTCCTTTTTCAGGCGCCGTAAACTAACTCAGCAGGCTGTTTGGGCATGTGAGCCTTGTGGCTGGGCATGGGGTTGGACTAGATGGCCTCCAAGGTCCCTTCCAGCTCTGATACCGTTAAGGGTTTGGCTCGTTTCTGAGGGGAGAAAGGCCTTTATATCCCTCGCTCAGCCCAGCTGAAGAGCACCGGCCCAGTTTTCCCCTTGGTGCCCACCACCACGGCTGCCTGAGAGATTCTGGGAGTTGAAGTCAAGTTGCCACCATTGGAGACCTCTGATGTAGAGAGTTCTCCACGGGCAGAGCAGGCAACATGGCAAAAGTGCCAGGGATAGAGGGGGCAGAGAACTGGCTATGGGCCCACAGGGAAGGGCATCTGGGCCTCTGATCCTGGGCACTCAGATGGTGCGCTCTTAGCTGCTGCCCAAGATGGGGAGAACCCCACAGTTTTCAACGATGCAGTTTGAGGGGGGAGATTGCCTTGTTTCTTGTCCTTGGGGCCTGGGAAGCCATGGGGTGAAGGCCCGGCCGTCCCTGGGGTGGGGAGCTGTGCTGCCAAGGAAAGGCCATGGATGGCACCGCCTTGGGCACGTCCCCTCCCACAGCCCCCCCAAGGCAGCAGCCACCAGGGGGCCCACCTATCATGGAGGTTGGCAGCCCCGCCTGGGACGGATGGCAGTCACCACGGATTAACAGTGGGAAGGGCTTTTTGTGAAAAGTCCTTTGTGCCACAGAATGTCAGTGCCGAGGTGGCGCAGTGGTTAGAGTGCAGCACTGCAGGCTACTTCAGCTGACTGCAGTTCTGCAGTT